CAACAGCAGCAGCATCAGCAGCAGCAGCGGCAACAGCAGCAGCACCATCAGCAGCAGCAGCATCAGCAGCAGCGACAACAGCAGCAACAGCGGCAGCAGCAGCAGCAGCAGCGGCAGCAGCAGCAGTAGCAGCGACAACAGCAGCAACAGCGGCAGCAGCAGCACCATCAGCAGCAGCAGCATCAGCAGCAGCAACAACAGCAGCAACAGCGGCAGCAGCAGCAGCAGCGGCAGCAGCAGCAGCAGCGGCAGCAGCAGCAGCAGCAGCAGCAGCAACAACAGCAGCAACAGCGGCAGCAGCAGCAGCAGCGGCAGCAGCAGCAGCAGCAGCGGCAGCAGCAGCAGCAGCGGCAGCAGCAGCAGTAGCAGCAGCAGTAGTAGCAGCATAATCAGCGGCAGCAGCAGCAGCGGCAGCAGCAGCATCAGCAGCAGCAGCATCAGCAGCAGCAGCATCAGCAGCAGCGACAACAGCAGCAGCAGCGACAACAGCAGCATAATCAGCGGCAGCAGCAGCAGCAGCAGCATCAACAGCAGCAGCAGCATCAGCAGCAGCAGTATCAGCAGCAGCGACAACAGCAGCAACAGCGGCAGCAGCAGCATCAGCAGCAGCAGTAGCAGCAGCAGCAGTCGCAGCAGCAGCAGTAGCAGCAGCAGTAGCAGCATCATCAGCGGCAGCAGCAGCAGCATCAGCAGCAGTAGTAGCAGCAGCAGCAGAAGCGGCAACAGCAGCAGCAGCAGCGGCAACAGCAGCATCAGCGGCAACAGCAGCAGCAGCGGCAACAGCAGCAGCATCAGCAGCAGCGGCAACAGCAGCATCAGCGGCAGCAGCAGCAGTAGCAGCAGCAGCAGTAGCAGCAACAGCGGCAACAGCAGCAGCATCATCATCAGCAGCAGCAGCAGCATCAACAGCAGCGACAACAGCAGCAGCATCATCAGCAGCAGCAGCATCAACAGCAGCGTCAACAGCAGCAGCATCATCAGCAGCAGCATCAACAGCAGCGACAGCAACAACAGCAGCAACAGCGGCAGCAGCAGCAGTAGCGGCAACAGCAACAGCGGTGACGAACCGGCGGCACCAACAATTGCCCTCCAAGCTCTGCGGCCCTCGAGACATGCAGATGTTACTGGCCAACGAATGACGCGTACACGGGGCGGTGGAGGAGACCAGAGCCCCCCGGAGAAAACGCCTCTCCCTGCGCTAAGGGGGGGGGGGCGCTCGATCCCCCGTACAAATGGAGACAGATGGCGATCAGACCACACACAGCCAGGGGTACGGGCTCCCACTCGGGGACTCTCGCAGTCGGAGCGTTGCGTTGATCCACCAACCCTCGCCGCTCCGCAGCGCTGGGTTACGGGACACACCGAATTGTCATCAGCCATCAGTGGAGTTCATTCATTACACTGGTCAACACATCTTCTTGGTTCTTTCGGTAAAGTCACGTAGAAGGGAAGTAATAAAATAATAAAAATAAAACATAATAAATTAAAATAGTAAAATAATATTATATAATAAAATAAGATTGTATAATTATATAATATAATCATTCCCACACACTTTTCATTATTACACTGGTCAACACACTTTTTCTGGCATGAGGTATTCCAACGGTTTTAAGGTAATTTTGGGGGGTGCTGATTCCAAATCTGGCATCAGTTTTTGTCTATCACATCAGGTTTTTGAGATATCACATATTGCATTTTCAATAAAAACTGCAGAAGAAAAAGATTAAATAAATGTGGATATCTACATAAAATGATATTATAAACACACTATCCTAAAAATACAGCAACATATTTTAACACTAAAGCAGTCACCGACTCGCAACAACTTGCAATCGTAAGTGACAGAGTTAATTTCGGGTAAAATCAATGAAAATGGGGTATGCCGACAGCATAAAAATGAAATGTGATAGAGCAAATCTGAGATCAGATGTGGAATCAGCACCCTGAAATTAGTCTAGAACAGCTGCAGAAGTCCAGGCCAGAAAAAAAAATGTTTTTTTTGTTGTTGACCAGTGTTATTTGGTGCAACCGCAACAAACAAAAAACGCACGAACAAGAAACCATCTGAAAGCGGCTTCGCGCAAACAGAAAAATCGAGGAATAAGTATAACCCGCAAAAACAAAGTTTTTCACTCTAAATCTTATGGGTCAGATGATTGTCTGCCACCATTAAGCAATTGGTAATTAAATATAAAAAATGTTTTCCCTAAACAGTGTAAAATTTGAGAAAAAAATTTTCACGAACATTAATTGTCTCGCACAACGAGTCTGTGTGCAAAATGTCAGCTCGATTGGATCACGGGAAGTGGGTTAAAAAACGACCGAAAGGTTTGCACGGTCGTAAGCAAGCAAGCAAGCGAACTTAATATAAAGGATTTAAAAAGCAGCCAAAGTCTTGCGGGAAAAGCGCCGCACATCAACGCCGTGTCCCAAAATCCCAGTGGGATGCAATGGTCAATCCACTGCTGAATGAAGGCGTCCTCCCACGCCGTGTCGT